TTTCAGCCGCTGCTGAAACTGATCAGTTTCAACAGCGGCTGACTTGGGGATGCCTGGGGCAGAGCAGCTGGGGTGCTGCTGGGCTGGTCCAGTAGCGCCGAGGAGCGGCCCTACTGGAGCAACCCAGCAGCACCCCGTTTGCTCTGCCCCAGGCGTCCCCAAGTCAGCCACTGCTGAAACCGACCAGCGCTGACTACAGGAAGCCCGAGGCAGAGTTGCTCTGCCCCAAGCTTCCTGGAATCAGCGCTGATCAGTTTCAGCAGCAGCTGACTTGGGGACGCCTGGGGTTCTTAAGTTGAATCTGTATGTAAGTCGGAACTGGCGTCCAGATTCAGCCGCTGCTGAAACTGACTGCCAGTTCTGACTTACATACAGATTCAACTTAAGAACAAACCTACAGTCCCTATCTTGTACATAACCCGGGGACTGCCTGAACATATTTTGAAGACTTACCAAGTCCTCCCTTAATCTTCTTTCAAGATTAAATATGCCTAGTTGTTTTTTTTAAGCTTTCCTCAGAGGTTTTCTAAACCTTTTATCATGTTTGTTGTTGTTATCCTCTGAGCTCTCTCCAACTTCCCTAACACATGGTGTGCAGAACTGGACACAGTACTCCATATCAGGGCTCACCTGACATTTACTGCTTCCCTCCCATCCACTAAGACAGTAACCCTATCAAAGAAATAAAGCAGGCTGGCTTGGCATTATTTGTTCTTGACTAATCCATATTGGCTATTTCTCATATACCTATTAACTTCCATGTGATTACAAATGGATAACTTAATAATTTGTTCCAGTATCTTTCCAGGTAGAAAAGTAACAGTGATTGATCTATAATTCTCCAAGTTCTATTTGTTTTCCTTTTCGAAGATAGGTATTTGTTTGCTCTTATAGCAAAGAGAACAGATGGGACCAACTGTACTTCTCTGTGGTTTTCAATATCATACACCTGTAACTCCTCTGCATTCTAAACTAAACAGATGTAATGTTTTAGAGATAGCACGATTCAGCAGATGATATTACTGTCAGAGCCAGGAGACCCCACAATTTACTCATAGGTTTGCCTCTGACTTGTAACCTTGCACAATTCATCCAACATCTTTGTACCTCAAGGCCATTTATCTCTCTTTACAATAGTGCTTTGAAATCTATAGATGAATAATGCTGTAAATATTATTACTACCAACACTATACAATTATTAGCCTTTTCATTGCTTTTCTCTGTGTATGTTCTGTTGTTTTTTCCACAGTGTAGCCACATTACAAGTTACAGGTGTGTGCTTCAGAAACATGGAACAGGGTTCTGAGAAGAAATAAAGATGGAAGTATGTTGAGCTATAACATTCTTTCATCTCAGTGAATTTTGAGTATTGGAAGTAAGACAGCAGATACCACTGACTACCATACATTGGAATGTATCTTTTGGCTATTTTTTAAAAAAGACATGCTTGACTTAAAAAAAAGCTAGTAAATCCTACAGAAAAAAAAACTATGCTTATTTTCTCTCAAAAACAAAAAGGACATGCTGGACACAATAAAACAAATGTTTTAATTTCTTGGGGGAAAAAAAGAATAAAATGAAACAAATGTATTGTGGAAGATATCAAAAAAAGAGCATGCAGCAAAAATGGGACTACCTTATAACTGGAGTAAAGGCATTAAGAACATCAACAAGAGGCCAGAAGGATGGGGAAAAAAAGAGAAAGAGAGAGTACCTGTGTACCTCCGACAGAGAGGAATCACTTTCATCAGACCTATATTGAACAGTGGTGGGAGATTACGAGGAGAAAGAATACAGGTATCAGCATATCTTCCATATGAGAAGGACAAACAACAGCATGGCTGACTCAGAAATGCAGGGCACATTTGCTTACTGCACATCACTTTGCTTCTCAGTTTATACTTTATATCAGGAATAACACCAGGGATGAACATTAAAATAGCTCTCTCAAGGTAAATTCAATTCACATAATGTCACATATCAAGAAGCTGAAGAATGCTGCATAGTCACTTTGTATTTCTCCGATATTTGTTACAGAAATAGGCAGTGAAGAAAAATGAGATGGATACAATTTGCCACTGCATGTCATACTAATTCTGCCATATATTTAAAAAGAAAATTCTAAGACTGTTAGGATCTGTTTAGTATAGGAACACATTGCTTACATTCTTCAATATAAAATATCAAGATTATACAGTCTTCATTGAACCAAGCTCAATAGTTTGCAAATGATTAGACAAGTCCAAAATGCTTCATCTTCTGACTCCAAAAAATGTTTTAGAGCCCCCTTCCTCCAAAAACAAGATCCACAACTATGGTACACCTTAAAATAATAAAGGATATGCTGTCCTTCACTTTAATGCAAACCAAACATGATTAGTAATTAGAGTTTGATTTCACAGCCAGATGAAAAAAACCACAAAGATTTATGCTTAGTAAAAGCTCAAAGCACAAAAAAGAAATTGCCGGTAATATTATATCAGATTAGTAATAAAATTCTATGATAATGTAGTTGCAATAAGGGAGTTACAAGCAGTATTAAATTGCTGGAAGCTCTGCAAGCAACACTACTTGGTGTGTGGTGACTCTGCAGATCACTGAAAACCAAAAGTTAAATAGAACACGCACAAAAATAAGGGATTAAAGCAATCCCAAATGCTACAATCAAAATTGTAGTTTGACTCTTCATTTTGAGTCAGAGTTAATAAGCACTACATGGCAGCACTATCAGTACTGTAATCTTGAAATGAAGATTCTGGTTCAACTCAGTGATCACTAAGTTTAATGAGGTTTTTAGAGAAGAAGATGTCTTCAATGTCAAGAAACTCAGGTTTATTGCTTCAAAATAAGAATGGTAGTATTAAGATATTTCTCCAAATTGTCTCAAACATGTCAGTCCATTAAATAATCAGGATTGTGGCTAAATTGTTGCATGATAGCCATTCCAACAAAAATCACCCTACAGAGGTTATTTTGGAGAGTTCTCTCAGCAATGCTAAAAGGGAAGCTAAATAACTGTTAAAAATACTATTTCCTAAACTGTTAACTAACTCATAATTTCAAATATATATGAGAGGGTTACTCACCCTCTGCAGTAACTGACGTTCTTCGAGATGGGTGTCCCAGTGGGTACTCCACCTTAGGTGTTTTACTAGCAGTGGCTTTGACAGCTAGCTTGCACACGTGAAGAAGCGCTACACACACTAGGCGGCTAATGCGCATGAGCGAGACACGGTCACCTCAGTTCCTTCTCTGCCCCAGAAAAGTATGGAAATAATACCGAAGCAGAGGGGAGGAAGGGTGGGTGATGAAGCACCCACAGGGACACCCATCTCGAAGAACGTCAGTTACTGCAGAGGGTGAGTAACCCTCTCTTCTTCAACAAGGAGTGTCCCTGTATATGCTCCACCTTAGGTAACTACAAGCAGTTTATCCACTGGAGGTGGGAGCTTCGGACGGTGTAGTGTCCTTTTGGACCATGGTAAGGATTGTCTGTCCGAACACAGTTTCTCTGGATGCGTAGGAGGCCAGAGCATAGTGAGCAGCGAATGTCTGAGTAGAGGACCAGGTGGCCAATTTGCATATATTGGACGGGGAGATGCCCTGTACGTAGGCTGCTGATGCTTCCATGGCGCTGGTCGAATGTGCACGAAGTTGTGCAGGTGGTTCTTTACTGAAGATTGAATATTCTATTCTTATGCATTCCACTATCCATTTTGAGATCCTCTGGGAGGAGATGGGGAGTCCCTGGAATCGTTCAGTGGTTGATACAAATAACCTGTAGGTTTTCCGAATTTGCTTGGTTCTTTCCAGGTACAACTCAATGGCCTCCATAAATCAAGTGTGTGGAGTGTGGCCTCTGTCTGGTTGGTGTGGGATTTGGGAAAAAAGATTGGTAAGTTAATAGGTTCATTTCAGTGGAAAGAAGAGGGCACCTTTGGCAGGAACTTAGGGTGAGGCCAGAGGACTACCTTGTCCTTGTGGAAGGGGGTGAAAGGAAGGTCTGCCACAAGAGCTGCAATTTCACTGAGTCTCCTCGAAGATGTTATTGCCACTAGTAAGGCCACCTTCATGGAAAGGTGGAGCCCAGAACAGGTTGCCATAGGCTCAAACCGTTTATGGGTTAAGGCCCTCAGAACCAAATTGAGGTCCCAAACTGGAGACGGAGGTTTGATCGGTGATAAATGTTCTACAATCCCTTGAGGAACTTTTTGGTCATGGGATGTATAAATAGCGACTTGGCTGGTGTAAAGCGGTTATGGCAGAAAAGTGAACCTTCAGGGAACTTAGTGAAAGCCCTGAGTTTTTGTGTTTGGTTATGTATTGCAGGACCGCAAATAATGGAGTCGAAGATGGGTTGAGATTGTGGAGGTGAGACCATGTGGAGAATCGATGCCACTTGTACAGGTAAGTTTTGTGAGGGGATGTTCTCCGACGGCTAAGGAGGATATGTTGGACTTTGTCTGTACGTTCTGCTTCTAGTGAAGTGAGCCATTGAGGAGCCAGCCCTGAAGGTTCAGGGTGTGGAGGTGAGGATGCTGAAGGCAATTGTGACATTGGATGAGGAGATTTGGGAGCTGTGGGAAATGCTATAGGCAGTCAGCTGACATTTCCAGTAGGTACGTATACCAGGTTTGTCTCAGCCAGTCTGGCGTTACCAGTATGACATTAGCTTTGTCTAAGCTCACTTTGGTGACTACCTGATGGAGAAGCGGTACGGGATGAAAAGCATATGAGGGTCGTCCCCCAGGATATCGTGAATGTGTTCCCTACGGATTGTGTTCCGATGCCCGCACGTGAACAATAGAGTGGATACTTTTTGTTGGCACTGCTGGCAAACAAGTCAATCTGTGGGAAGCTCCACTGTGTAAAGATCTGATGCAAGATGGTGGGGTCTAGTTCCCATAAGTGGTTCGCAGGGAAGCTCCTGTTGAGGCTGTCTGTGGTTATGTTGTCTTTTCCGGGGAGATGTGAAGCAATTAACATGTTGTGAGCGATGCACCAAGTTCATAGCCAGACTGCCTCTTTGCAGAAGTGGTAGGACCTCTCCCCGCCTTCCCCGTTTATGTAGAATATTGCAGCTTGCTTGTCCATAAACATCTGCACTGTGGAGTTGGAAATACGATTCACAAAATGCCAGCAGGCATATTATACTGCCCTAAGTTCGAGCACATTGATGTGCATTCTGGTCTTCGTGTGGGTCCACCGTGCTTGTGTGGTGAGGGTACCCAGGTGAGCTCCCCAACCCTGTTGTGATGCATCTGTGGTAATGGTGAACGATGGGGCTTGCCAATGGAAGGGAACCTCAGCGCACACATTTTGTGCATCTGACCACCATTGGAGGGAGCTTTTGACCATGTTTGGAAGTGAGACTAGCTTGAGTAGGATGTTTACCCAAGGTCTGTATACTGTGCTCAGCCATTGTTGTAGAGGCCTTATGTCTACCCTGGCATGCGGGACAACCATCGTCACTGCTGCCATATGGCCTAGTAACAGGAGACATGCCATGGAAGGAAGTTGTGGAGCCATTGTGTGAAGTTGTAGAAGTTGTAGTATTGCAAGGAACCTCTGATGGGTCCAGAGCGCTGCCCTTATGTACAGCACTGCTTTGTGCGGAAGGACCGACAATGCTGTTGTAGCCCTGTGCTGTTCAACCGGACAGGCTTGGGCTTATCAGCATGTTTAGGCACATTGGCCAGGTCCTTAGACCTTCAGGGCACAGTGGGTGAACGCTGACCCAGTAAGCACTTGTCCAGAGCCCCAGCAGGGCATGGCGCTGGCTTAGGATTCAGGGATCACCCTTTTTTTATGCGAAGGGGATTCCCTGTTTGCTACTACATGTGCTCGCTTTTGTTTGGAGAGGCAGAGCTTGCAGTTGCGGCAGCGGGAACTGCCTTATACGGCAACACCTCTGGTGATATTAATAGCGTGGATGCAAGAAGATCAGGGTCCGATGCTGGTCTGAGGGAGATCAGGTTGAGCTGAAAACACTCTGGCTCTCCAGCCCTGGCTGACAAATTTTCACTAATGGCAGTAAACTGCACTGTAATTGTCCAGACAATGTATGCACTGAAAGTGCTAGTCTGGCAATGTGATTGACAGCCCACGAGGAAAAAACAGAGCCCCCACTTGGGAAAATGCCACGAAAAAGATTACGAATATTTTTTTTAAATCTGTGAAAAAAAAAATCTCTTTTAGCCTTATGTGAGGAGGCTGGAGCTGGAGCTGGAGCTGGAGCTGAAAAGAAACTCCTCAGTGTAGAAGAGAGGAGTCCCTTGAGGGGAAGCGCGAGGCACGGAGCCTGTGCCTGTCTCCGTGTCTGTAGGAGAAACATAGTCTTCTTTGTCTTTTTTCCCTCCTTTTTTGCAGAAAAGTAAAAATATAATAAAACTATAATGAAAAGGTTAACTAAGTAAAGGAAAAGACTAGCTGTCCCTCTGAGGAGAAATCTGCAGAGCACACTGCAGGTTCTAACCAATGCCAGCGGCGGCAGAGAAGGAACTGAGGTGCCGTATCTTGCGCATGCACATTAGCCGCCTAATGCGTGTGGCACTTCTGCGCATGTGCGAGCTAGCTGTCAAAGCCACTGCTAGTAAAATCTTTCAGCCAGGTGTACTTGTGGCACCAAAATACCTAAGGTGGAGCACCCAAGGGGAAATTCCTCAAAGAAGAAACATATATTTTCACACATACATATTATATATATTTACAAATTCTATAGTTCTTTCAAACATTTTGTATTACAGGAAAATTTAAAGTACAGGATTTAAAATAAGGAATAAGGT